TGGAACTTTGAAAGTGTATTTCTGAAAATACTTCACCAAAAGGGTCTTTTTGACGCAATAAAAGAAAATCTGAATTTTCCAACCTGTCGTTGGATTCTCCATATTTATAGGCAGTGGCTCTTAATGCCCTGGGAAAATAAGAATCATTTTGATCACTGAAACTAGGATTTTTTTTTCACTAGAAGCTAATATTATTATTAGTTCTTTAATTGTCTAACTAACTTGCAGATCATTATTACAGTGTATGTAAGAGGTTTCAACTTGGCTCAAATGATCCCATTTTAATATTGAACATAGTTAATGGTACATGTAACTTGTTATCAAGCATTTCTAACAATGTTTTTTGTTTCCTAAGAGAAGCTGGCAAGTACATGACTGGAGGCACAAAACGATGTATATCGGTGTCAACTTTAGCTGAGGCAGAGTTTTATGCCAGTGGAGGCTATGATGACATCACTTATGCTTATCCACTTTCACCTGACAAGGTTCCACAGGCTTCCCAGCTTTTAGTAAGACTTGAGAAGTTTCATGTGTTGGTAGATAACTATGTTATTCTTGATGCACTGACTGCCTCTCCTCCTAAAGGGAAAAAGTGGTCCATTTTTCTCAAAGTTAACTGTGGTTACAACCGAGGTAAGTTGTGGTTTTAAATGCTGACCAAGTGCAGATATTTTGAAAAACAGATGAACTTATTAATAAAGCTAAGTAATTTCAGAGGTTTCAGCCTATCAGATTACTCCATTACAATCTGTGCAATATGGTTCAATGCTCGGAGAATATTGGAGGTGGCACAGTCCTGAAAAATCCAGCATGATCACTCTTGAAGATCTTTCATATCTAAAAAGAACTTGCTTTTACTCTTTTTTTTGTGTAAGTTTAGCATCAGTCAAAAGAATATGGCTATTTGGCAGCTGTCAATCAGAGTAACTAGACTCTTGTGACTCTCAGAGTGGTGCAAATATAGTTGCTATAATAATTACAATTAGTTATATTGTAAGGAAAGTTTCCTGCTGAGTTACATAAAGGCATTTTATTTAGCAGAAAAAGTTGTATTGGATGGACAGTGTAATAGTAAATAGATTTAGCCAAGCCTAAAAGTGGAGCTCCTGATTGCAATAACTAACCATAAAGAAAAAAGAGGATATTTTGTTTTTCTTGGATCGGAAACTCAAAAAATGATCAATTGCGAGCATGTAATTGTTCAGCGTGTGGTTTTGCTATTTTCCCAGTTAAATTTTAACAAACTGATGAGATGATTGTGCAAGGAATATGTAAGAAGAAAAGTCAAAAATGCACCAGGGGTAACTTTGCACCGAAATTTTGCCTTTGCACGTACTCCCTTCTCCTCCAAAGTAATAACCTGTCTTGAGCCTGTGANTATTTCTCCACGACTTCTATGTTATGCAACTGTTATTTTGGCTTTCAACCATTGCACAGAAAAGCCAACAAAGTGCTTCAAAGGTGGTGTGTCCTTGCCTTTTATAGGATCGCTCCGTGTTTAACCTGAATTAATTACTTTCAAAGACTGTAAAATGATCATATGATTATGTCAACAATGTTGCATGTAACTGTCGGATGTATCATGTTAATATGTCAAGCTGTCACAATTAACCCAGGAATTATAATGGCATTAGATCATAAAGTTTTAATGTTGTCCCATATTAATGTTTCAGCTGGTGTGTGGTATGATGATCTGCAAAGTGTGAACTTGGCCAAGGAAATAGCTTCTAGGAGTTGTTTGACTTTTAAAGGTCTCTACATACATGAGGGAGATTCATACAAATGTCGTGGTGAAGATGAAATCAAACAAAGTGCCTCTGAAACGTTCAAGAGGCTTAACATATTTTCAAGCAGGTGAGAATTTAATCTATTTTCATGTTCTGCATTCCATTTGATTCTTTATAATTTTATACTCAGTTCAAACCCATGATAGCCTGAAATTTTTTTCTGTTAAGCATGACATGTGGCCATATTAGACAAAGAATGTGTTTTTCTACAATAATATTATATAGCTGCAGGTAATATCCTCAATGTGTTGGTTTGTTTCGGGTGGAAGTTAACGAAATGAAATAGTTGCCGTTCTCAGGCTCTGTTTGGACAATATTTGAAGAAAGGGCATGATCTGCTAACTATAGCTTGGCAGGCACACCAGGTTAAATGCTGAGGAAAGAATTGGTACAGCAAGGGCGGAGATTCTGGCAAATATGAGTAGTAGGGTCTCAACAGCAGTGGTTGCTCTAGCTAGACAAGGCAGGAGTGAAGATAGTGGGCTGACAAGGTTGAAACAAATGTATGGATATCAAGCAATTAGTCAGACTTACCATGAGCCACATCCTTAAAAGCTTGGACTACCCAGCCTTGGAACTCAGCAGATGGCTGACCTGGCAATAAGGGATCGGAGTAAATGGAAACTGGTATTAAAGGAGTGCTAGTGCATGGGATGTTCACATATGTCACCAGCAGATCAAGCAGGATGACGTGGTGACACATGTACAGCCATGCCACCTAGCAGTTACCGGTACCAGCCAGTCAATGTGTGCAGACATCATGAGGAAAGTACATGTAAAGGAACACAAAGGCGATGCTTCACTAAGACAATGCCACCTATATGGCAGTTTACAAATATTTGAGGTCAAAAATATAACTTACAGGAGATTTAAAATCAACTTACCGGTCCTTGTTTGATGTTGTTACAGTATGATTCAAACACCAATGTGTTTAAAGATTGAACATTGCTTGGGCAAAAAGGGGGTAAAAGCAAAATTCCAAAACAACTTATGTAATTTATAATTAAAATTCTACTTTGAATACAGTGAGGAATGATTCCAAATAAATTTAACTGCACTAAGAGTGACTTAAATGTTTCAAACATTGCATAATTTATTCTCATATCTTAATATTTTTTCCTGCCAGACTTAAAGAAGCTGGTGTAAAATTTTCTGTTGTGGCTATTGGGGCAACTCCAAGTTGTTCAAAACCTCCAGATGATATTCAAGAGATTAATGAGTTTCATCCAGGGAATTATGTATTTTATGGTAGGTCAGATGAACACTTGGTTAACTTGACATTTTTACCTACGACCTGTCGAATGCAGTGTTCTTACAACTATCATCTACAGAGTACATGTACATTTATGTCTAGTATCGTACTACAATTGGCAGTTGAGTAAGGCATGACGGAAGTTTGGTGACAAAATTTTGGTCTTAATATTACTGTGTTGTCATGGGCAACTTTACTTGTTTCCATTGGTTACAATATCAACAGCCATGGTCACCTGTCACGTTGCCTACAATTTCACACACTTTGCTGGCAATGATGTCGAAGGCCCACAAGTTGCCACTGGAAATGCAGCCAGTTGCCCGTGACAGCAGCACAATTTTCATGTTAAAACATGGTGACCAAACTTTCTTTGTGCCTTACTCGACTGATAATCGTAGTACGCTATTGTACAGTAATCTTACATTGTGACAGCCTTTTATATTATTACTGCACAGTGCAGATCTCGCATTTGACATCCGAAAACCCATCCAATTGATGAAAAAGTTGAAAACACTTGATAGAAGGATGTTAAAGTGGACTCAAATGCCAGAAAGATATAGTCAAGATAACCAAAAGCCAAAGAAACAGCAAATAAAACACACCTTTTACGTGACCTCATTTTCAAAATACTGTCATCATGAAAGCCTTTCTTAACGCAACATTTAACACTGAAGTCAGCAAAGGATGGCTGCAAAAGACAGGCCACCACAACATTTGGAGAAAGGTTACAAAAGGAGTCATCCCCTAATATACTTGTACATGTATACCATAGTGGTAAATACACAGTCAAACCTCCGGTTGCGACCACCTCTCCTTAGTGACCACTTTGCCAAAGTACCAGAAGTTTCCAAGTCAAATCACTATATTTGGAACCTCTTGTAAGAAACCACCTTTCATAAGCAACCATGACCACTTCAGAGCTACAAGTTTGACATTTTCTTTTGTTTTTAACCTCCTGTAAGCAACCACTTGACAGATAATAGAGCGTAAGTTGGGTAATGAGGTGTGGTAACATTATCGCATTCCTGCATAGTACAAGAGACAGAAATTTCTCAATGGGAAGTACTAGATGTTTTTCTCCAAAATGAATTATCACATGGATAAAACATTTAAAATATGGCGTTAAGTCTCTGCAGTTACCATATGCTAATGAGGCAAAATTTTGATCCAATATGGTCTAACCTCTCTTAAGTGACCACCTCCCATAAGCGAACACCTAGGCTTGACAATATTTTGGGTGGTCGCTTACAGGAGGTTCAACTAAAGCTGAAAACACTTAATGAATAATTCAAGACATGTCTCAAGAGAAATGAGAGGCATCTCTCAAGATGGTGTTAACTTACTTTTGAGCAGTGTAATTGTATATCATATTGGTAAATATAGCTGATGTTTTTTTTTTTATGTGGTTATACCCATTCCACTCCTCTGAAGTCCATGCACAGCACATACTTTCTCCAAATAAGGCAAATATGGTATATAAAAAATTCAAAAGCATGCCAATCTTCCATTTCTTCTCTTTTCTTTCATCCTCTTTATTGTGCTCCTTCTTTCTTGTTACTTAATCTGCACTTGGCACAAAAATGGACAAATTTAATAAACCATGTTTTGAAAACTTCAGCCATAAATAAATAAACTTAGGTAGAGTTACAAAATAATTATAAAAGAAAATGAGAAAACTTGTCAATGTTTGTTCTTTCCAGAGGTAATCATTAGTGTTTTTTTATCTTCAGATTATGAACAGTTCCTTATAGGGTCATGCAAAATGAAGGACATTGCAGTAAGAGTCTTAACAAGGGTGATTGGGCAATATCCTGAGAGAGGACAAATTTTGATTGACTGTGGTTGGACTGGATTGTCACATGACAGCCTTGGAAAACTGACAACAGGGTTTTGTTACTTTGAAGGACATCCCAATCTCAAGTGAGTCATGATTGTGGGTTATTCAAGGTTACGGAATTACAAATAAATTTGTCAGTCAACTTCTCCCAAAATGTAAAGAGTTAGTTAAAGTAAGTAATGTCCAATCAAAAATATTGTTTTCCTGCTCTGGAATCATGATTAAAGTATAAAACAATTTCCAGTACTCAGAGCGCAATAATTTTTTTTAAAAGTGGAATATTTCGATTGGCTGATCAACCTAACTTCATCAGCCACGGTAAAAATATAAAAGGTAAGAAGGTTATATCATGTTCATTAGGGTGTCAAGGTGGCTAAAATAGTGTAATTGATGCTAGCTACATGATGACTGAGTGACCCCATGCCCCACTGGAGGCAATGAGGATTGATGATGATGACATGATCATTGTAATCAGATCTCAATTGCCTCCCTTATGTGACGTTGAATGTGTTGCTTTCTGTGGTAAGAACTGCTGGAATGCACTGAATGTTCTGTGAGCTGGCAATATTCATGAATACATGTAGCTGATGAATTCCTCAAGACATGTACCTTTACCCCAGTTTCTAATAAGCGAGATGTTAATTGCCAACATATTCTTTGGTAATGGTTTAAACAATCATAAATATTATGCTTTCAGTAGTAGAAAAAAGTAACTCAAAATCTTTTTCTTCCCAAAGCAGTTACAATTTGTTTGTGCGATATCTCAATGAGCATCACACAAATTACCCTGGCTATAGGTGTAGGGTGATTTGTCAGCTTTGCTATATAAAAATGTACTAGTACTATGTGCTTTAGTGTCTATTCTCAGTGCTTTATCACAACACAACATTTTGCAAGCAAGCTAATACAGAACTGTAACTCTTCATTTCTTCATTAAACCAATTACCAAAATTAAAAGATTCCATGTTGCCATGCATCTTTTCAGTACTGTTATAGATTACAGCTGAAACCAGCATGTGGTAACAACAAAAAAGTGGCACACAAGGCATTAGCCGAGTGTGTCACTGATGTGCTTACCACACAATTTTTAGCAAGTATGAAGAAACCAAAAAATGTTAATGATGCCATCTATATGTCTGTCCTCTAGTAGATCATACATGTAAGTAAGAACCAATCAAAATTTCAGAATGATTTGACATAATGGTATGCATTGGTTTATCAGACTGATGCAGTTCTAATTTATAAAACTGTAGCTCTGGTGTGGGGTGTAAGATTTGCTCTGCATGCTAGTAATATTTTGGAGCATGAGTTTTGTTGCATCAACCTCATTATACTTGCAACATCACTATTTTATATGGTCTGTGCTATTACTTAGCATAATTTTATGATAGCAAGTAATATAGTCTACTCCTTGCAGAGTTTAATCACATTTTAGCATTGCTGAAGCTCAAGCAACATTCGCAGATTTATTTCGTTCGCTTTAGTTTTCCCTCCTCTCCCTCCCTAGTTACTGTGTACAGACAATTAAAATGACAGCTTTTTTGATTACTATGTATAATTACATATGATTATGTTCTCTTACTCTTCAATGTTATTAGTATGCAAATTATTTCATGTTAGTAACTAGCCAAAAAAAATCTGTGTTATCTTGTATATCTATCAGTTTACTTGTTTCTTATGCTGGAGTATTTTTACTCTATTATATTTAAAGTAGTGAATGTTTCAATACTAGAGAATTATTTAGTAAATTAAAGTATGTAGTTAATTATTAATAAAGGCTGTCTTTCATCCCAAACACTGCCTAGCTTATTGTGTTGTGTAATTTAGATATATAAGACACTGTATATGGCTTATGTGACAGGCTTTAAGAGATTCTAATGAAACAGTCATGGCAACCTGACTTCTTGCTACAGTGTGTATGCACATCTACATGAAAATTGTACATATTTTGTGATAACAACAGGAAAAGTAATGTAGAAATGTAAATAACAGAGTGGATATATCAAGTCAGCAAGGTTGATTTTTGTCACTGTTAAGGGATGTGCGCTATATACCGGTAGCTAGAGAAAATGGCATAAACACCTAATAATCTTCAAATGTAAATACATGCCCAGATGGCAAATACTATGGCACACAATTTAAAGAGAAAATTTGTTTACTTCAAAGCCATTTCACTTAGATTAGCTTAAGTGTTTCCTTGCAACAGTTTACTTATGCATAACAAGTTCCTAAAACATGAGAAGTTACATCAGTTTTGTTTTATAGCAGAACACACTTTACTGAGAAGATAAAAACAGAGGTAATATTATCATTACAATATGCCACTTATGTAATAATATTGCATTCATTTAGCCATTAATTTAAGCCAAAAAAAATACATTTTTTTTACATATTCTTGATTGTAATACCATCAACATTACTAGCAGTAGTGCATATTGAGTACTATTGACTTATTAGTAACAGTAAACTTAAATTGCAGGCTTCTTAAAATGACTCAGGAAGTTGGTACAGTGGAAGCTGTTGAAGGGTCTCTAGATGTATCACTCTACCCAATTGGCTCATTTCTGAAGATAATGCCCTATCACGTAAGTAGAGTATTCTAACTGAGGAGAAATAATATAGCGGAACTCCGACGGCCCAAAGGGCTGCCAAGTGGAGCCCCGTACTCATATAGGAAAGAAAAAGATTTTCTCATGGTCATCATGACTGGCGGCATTGCTTGTGGGTGGGTACGCACAACAGAGGTGATGGCGATGACAGCGTTGCACAAGATGGTGGTCATACTCCAGCTTTTGACAGAGACATGCAGCCTGTTAAAACAAGGTATCCACTGTCCAGCATTATGTGACCATATTGCGGACTCAGGTTTAGAGTTCATCGAGGTTACCTGTTTTCTTTAAGTTGACCGCTGACCAAGTGCTGGTTTTTGATTGGATCGCAGGCTCTCGTCAGGTTAACATGTTGTAAACAGGGTCGGGCTGTTTGGAAGGCAGCTAATGCTAACCCAGGATTAAAAAAGTTAACCAAAGTATAAATTTTTATAGTATACAAATGTTTTTCACTGCTTTTGTTTTTGTATTTTGAGATTATTCAAACTGAAAACAATATAAGAAAACCTGACTGCAAAGTTACAAAACTCAAATCAAAATTCTCGCTTATCCTGGGTTAGCTTAATTGAGCTTTTAACAACCTGGCCCAGGAGCTCTGCTTTAAGGCTTGGCTAAATCTATATGCCGGTATTATTTTACTTTCGCATTAGTATGGTGTTACATAACACATGATTTGAGACGACATACAATACCTATTTTTGCTTTTATATGTACAGTGTCTATGGTTATTAGCGGACACTACAGACAGTCCCCCCAGTGTCTTCTTAATGAAGGTTTCTTTGTAAAATGACCTACACAGTGTAGCTCAACAGTAGTTTTCTGGTCAGAGCATCGGTTTTGCAGGAAGTCATAAGTTTGAATTTAATCAGGGTCTCTGGATGTTTTTTCAGATTGTCTCACACTCATGACAAGCTGATCAACATCTTTTCATGTCAGCTCAACTCGTACACCAGTCCCAGTGGCATATCTAAGGGAGGGGCACGGGTGGCTGGCTCCCCCCTTATTTTGGGTAAAACAAAATCGCAAAAGGAAGGAAAGTGGGCAGGGCAAGCAATAACCCCCCGCTTAGCTCAAGTGTAGATGGTGTTGGGGGAATTAGCTGACATGTAGACAAAATGTAGAAACACAACTTATATTCTGAACGATAAACAGGAAGTTCTGACAATACTCGATA